TTTTAGTATAAAAGAACTACCTTACTTTTGAATGAATTCAGAATATGCAAAATTAACTAAGAAAACATAAATTTTAAGAATTTATCAAATCAATAAACACGGATTGACACATTCCATACGTAGCCCCAGAGTTTCTAAAAATATCCACATCCTTATAAATCAAAAATTCATTTGGTATGATATTATGCTGTTGACTTCTAGAAAATAACAGAATCTTTCTGGATACTTACAAATAGATTTATATATGTCTATTGATAACTCTGTGTAATTCTGTTTCTAATAGTTGCTTATAAGTATATTATGTCACATTTACCTTGAGAAATATAAAGAGCGAGCTGGATGCCAAGTTGAATTTAAATTTAAAATAAGGGAAAAGTAGAAAATAAAAAACAATGTAAGTAAAGTCAGTTGACAAACTGGGGAAAAAAATGCAACTTAAATCACAAACAAAGGTTTAAAAATTCAAGGACCAATCATCCCTCATTTTCCCCCAAATGGTCAAAGGACAGAGAGCCAAGTCAAACCCCCCAAAAAGTAAGTAACCCATGAATATATGAAAACATGCTCAATGGTTTTTCTTAGTTGGAACTTTAGGAAATTCTATTACTTCTTGGGTTACTGAAGAACAAACTTTTAAAGGACTAGATACTAACTGCTTAATAACTGGCCTTTTTTAGAACTGAAATTCCCCATCACAAGAAAATATCGTTTGTTTTTTCCCCCCAGAATTAAATCAGTGAAAAATGTGATTGACAAACATCTGATGCCTGTGACTTTTTTATTGCAAGAACTTCATTAGGTTTTATTTCTATCACATCAATTACCTATGGGAAATACTATATATATAATAACTATGCATAAAATGCCATATTGCCTAACTTAGCTTGTGATATTGAGATATTCTGTTAACTTACATTTTTCATCTGAACAGCCGGCCAATTGCTGTCAAAAGCTATTTCTAGAGTTAGTATTCTAACTTTGTTTTGTTTGCCTGGGAAGCTTTCCTGGCCAGTGTGGCTCAGTGATTGAGCATTGACCCATAAACTAAGAGGTCCTTGGTTCGAATCCCGGTCAGTGCACATGCCCAGGTTGTGGGACCAATTCCCAATGGGGGTGCATGTGGGAGGCGGGCAATTGATGTTCTCTCTCATCTCTATTTCTATCTCTCTCTCCCTCTCCCTTCCTCTCTCTCTAAAATCAATAAAGAAAAAAGAAAAAGACCGTGAAGCTTAAATAAAATATTCTATCTGCACCTTTATAATGAGAAAGAAATGAAAGGTTTTATCTTTGCAATCTATTTATGGAATATGCTTTGTAATATATTTACTTGTTCAAGCCATCAAAAGCCAACAGTAAACAAAATAAAAATACATTCCTTCTGGGAAATGCCCTCCTTTCGATATCTGACTGGTTTCAGAACAACTGCTTTGGGAGTGGCATACCGTAGTAATGCTCTTGCTGGTAATAGCTACTGGCTAACAGGACTTACCAAGTGCATCTAATAGAGGTGGTATAGCTCCCAGGTCAGCATTAAAAAAAAAAAAAAAAAAAAAAAGATGGTTTATCCTCTACCTGGTCATTCACTTTCAGGTTTTCACGAACATCTAATGTGCAATTCACCAGGACAGTGGAAAGCTGTTTCTGAGAGCATTCACAGGTCCATTCATGCGGCTACCCCTACCTCTGAAAAGCATCATGTAAACACTAATTTAGGACGTAAAGAATCCTCTAACATTGTTTTATTTTAAGAAGCTGGCCTCTGTTTAATCCACACACACTTACCTCCATTCATAAAGCCTTAAAGGAGACCTACCACTCAGCTCAAAACCTGGTCTACAAATATGCATCTTTTCCATGCTCTCATTTTCTCTTGGCAGTTTAACATCCTTAGGGAAAACTGGAGTGTTTACCCCCCTTCTTCACTCAAAGCCTTGACTCTCTTGAGTTTTATTCCTGTTAGAACCTTAGAAAGTTCACTGTCAATACTCTCCTGTGAACTCTGGCATTAAAGTGATCTCAAGGCTAAGGGGACAGACAGTAGCTCAAGGGTTACCTTATTTGCCTGATTTCTGTGCAGGCAATTGTAGTTCCTTCCTTTTTTTTTTTTTATCCTCACCCAAGGACATTTTTCGATATTTTGTTCAGATAGAGTGGGAGGGAGAGAGAGAGAGAGAGAGAGAAACATCGACGTGAAAGGGACACATCGAGTGGTCGCCACCCACACGACCCAACCAGGGCCGGGGACAAACTGCAACCGAGGTACGCGCCCCCAGCGGGAACCGAACCCGGGCCTCTCCGGACCGCAGGCCGCCACTCTAACCGCCGAGCCAAACCGGCCAGGCCTAGTTCCTTCCTTTTATAGACAAATCCAGCTTTGTTCTTAGTGTCTAATTATTATTACAATTAAAATCTGTCAGACCTTTCCCAGCGTTTGGTAAATCCATGCTCACAGAGAATGGGCAGAAATATGTTAAATCACTTGACAGCAACACCTATTTATTGCATTTAATAATTAATACATGTTTATTATGTAGCTACTACAGGCCTAGAACTAGCTGAGCACGGAAGAAAACTCTATCCCTTCTTCATGGAGCTTGTCCAGAAAAATAGGGAACAAGGTTTAGAACATATCAAATGATCCTCAGCTGAGTTACCTCTAAATAAGTTAAAGAGATAAACAAGAATACTATCGATTATATTACGACTGGTTTGATGATTCCCAGGTATAGAAATTTCACTAATAGGAAGAAAGTTCGAGTAAATCCCCAATTAATGAATCTAATCTAGTACCTATAACTAGGAAACCAAACACTAGCCATATTTTTTCCCTGTTAAATTTTCTCATTAAAAAAAAAAAACAAAACCAAAAAAACTGACTTCCAAGCCAAGGAATAGATGGGAAAGTTTTTTCTTCCCAGCTTCACTGAGGTATAATTGACATACGACATGGAGTACAGATGGTTGTAGAGAATAGATTCTCTGTTTTCACAAATAAGTGCCAACACTGAACTACAGAACATTTCTGTTGTATCACTTTTACTACTGCAATAATTAAGACAAATGATAATCCCCTCTCATTGAGTTTCCTTTGTTTCTTTATACCTCCTTCAAGTTAGTGTCATCATGGTGTGTCTTCATTTAATAATCCAAGATTCTAAGGTCTTTATTTCATACATCACCTCCACTCTTACTGTCTTTCATGCTCAACTAAGAATCCAAACATTATGTTGGTCTGAGGGGAAGAGGAAATCCCATAATTCGTTAAACCCTTTAAAGTCAAACCCTTTCAGATGCAGGATTGTTTAAATATATATAAAGTTGTGTAGTTCCAGAGCATGCATTTGAGGTTTGTGCTGAAAGCTTCCATTTCCTCACCATTCTCTCATTTCTTAAGCCTCTGTGATAGTTTCTATCACCATTCTATGAACAAAGATGTTGATATATAAGTTGGGTTATTAAAATTTTTCCTTACCAGATTCCAAATGTAACCTGGGTCGATATAGAAAACTGAAAAGCACCAAAAATGAAATATGCACGATCCTATCAACTATTAGTTGTTTTTGGTGTATTTCCAACTAATCTCTCTCTATGTGTATCAATAAAGTACTTTGGTTTTATTAAAGGAATACCAAAAGGCACATAGTGATTTGGAGTCTGCTTTTTCCACTTAGAATAGAGGATAGTTTCTCACATTGATATTTTTTTACACTGCTTACTGCATAGAATTCCATCCCCTAAGCCACCTAGCAAAATTTTCCTATACTTTCGATTGACACTTAGGAGCTTATATTTTTCCCTCCAAATTATACATCTTTGTTCATAGGTCTGATGATCTCTGTGGGATGAACTCTAAATGGAACTTTTGCTTTAAAAGTTATGTCCATTTAAAAACTTCAAAACACACAAAAATTATTTTAAAAACTAAACTTTTGTGGGTGCTGGTTCCCCCAATGTTTACTCAGTGTTGGATGTTTTTATCTTTTGCAATTAATACGAAGAAAATGTCAACTTTTTTTGTTTGTTCTTTTAATACTGGTCATGCTACCATTTTTTTGTTTTATTATTCATACAGGTTTACTCACAATCCTACAAATAAATCTTGCTCATTCTTATACTTCTGGCATAGAGAGGCTGTTTCATCAGAAACGTTCTTCCTCTTACTAATTCCTACATATCCCAACAATAACAGCATTCATCACGTCCAAGAATTTGGCATTAATACACCCTTGTCCTTACCTTTTTCATTTACGTATATTTCCTCTTCAATAAAACATTTAGTTGTTCAAGGGCAAGGGCCCCATATGCTTAAGGCCAGGAATTAATCTACCTTTCCAGGGGTCCCCTCAAGGGAGTAGGGGCAAAGTCATTTACATTGGGGTTGGGAGTGCAGTGGGCAAACCATCTTGGTGATTTTGAAATCTAGCAGGCTTCGAGAGGATTCAGTAGCAGCCCTTCAGCCACGGAAATCTCAAGTATTGTCCCTAATTATGTCTAATGAATGCCAAATTTGAGCAAGGGCCCTGGCACTACTGACAGTCTGGAGGCCTCAGGACAAAAGTGGAGCCCTGAAGGCTGCTGGCCCATAGACGACCCGCTGTCTCGCTCTGGGTTTCTATTTTCAGGTCGTTGCGCTATATTCTTCTATCCAGAGTTTCGGAAAAGACGTAACGGAGACTGTCAACTCTTGCTCCCTTTCCACCCTTCCTGAGTGGAGTGATAATTGCCGGTTTAGGGGCGTCGCAATAAACCACCATTTCCGGCAAACTGCAGCGGTGCTTTCCGAACTGTTTCGGAACAGTTACTGTCAGTAGGCGCTGGCAGGGGCCTGAGCTGCCTGGGGACCCGGGTTCGGTCAGGCCACGCCCCGCTCCTGCAGGGCAAAGCGCTGCCCGGGCGCCGAGGCCCCGCCTGGGCGCCGAGGCCCCGCCTTGCAGCCTGCCGATTGGCCCCTCCCGCCCTACTGAACGTCACTTCCGTTTCGGGCGTGGCCCAGGCCCTGCCCCGCTGGGGTTCCGCACTGGGCGTTTCCTGAGTCTGAGGGTTGCTGCGGCGGGTAGCCGCACTCGAAAAGGTATATACTCGCTGGCCTTCGGGATGCTCGCTGTCTTCCGGAAGATGACGGCTTCTTGCGTGACTCGAACGATACCTCCCCGCCGCCGCGAGAGTCCCTTTTCTTCTTGGAGCTTCGTTGGGATCCTTTTGGTGGCCCCAATGCTCCTGTTACCCTCAACCACCGGTAGGGGCCTGGAGAGGTTGTGCGCTCTGGGAGCGAACTGGAGCGGGTCGGGGAGCTGGCCGACCGGAGCCGAGGTCGGGGAGAGGTTTGCTGGGTGGGTCGGGTAGGAGGCACGGGGCTTGGTTAGACCTTCGCCGGATTGTGCTGTGCGCGGGTCCAGGGGAGCGGGGACCCCGAAGTGCTTAGTGGTCGACACTGAGCCTTCCAGGGCGCTGGCGCGGCCGGTGTGTGCTCGGAACCAAGCAAAAACTTGCAGGTGTTTCGGGACTGAGCCAAGCAGGCTGGGAGGGGCCGACCCTGTGCTCAAGGTGAGAGCTTGGTCTTGAGTGCCCCAGTGCGTGGGGATGTTGCTAGGGCAGGTGCTGTGCCCATGGGGAGTGTTTACGCTGTTTCCTGGAAGGGGTGGTGCCTTGGTGAGTGGGGTGTTTGTGCCCCCCTGGGTCTGCCCAGGAAAGCCTGGCCCAAGTGACCTCGGGTGTGTGCTATACGGAAGTGGCCAGGGCAACTGTGCAGCGGGTGGGGCAAGGAACTTGCAGTGTTTCCTCTGTGTCGAGGCGGGCAGCGCGCGTTGAGCTCTTGAGTGAAAAGTGTGCTTTTGGAAGGGCGCGGCAGTGCTTTTGAAGTTCAAGTTAACAGGCTCCTTGTTACCCAAATTCGTATTAGCATTGATTTGCAGACTGTTGTGCCCTTTCCAGCCTCCCACCATTACCCACAGTGGTCTTTTTGCTCCTATGGAGTATACGAAGTATCCTATTCAATTAACCAAATGTCTTTTGGCATTGTTTTTTTTCATTAGGTTGAGTCATATTTGAGGGGATATCCAGAGTAACCTAAAAAACTTTGGTAGGTAAACCTTGTGAGAAATTTAGTGTACTAAGAAATGGACAATAAATAATGTTAATATGGTTTTCCCCGACAGATCATAAATTAAGCTGAAGGGCGATTCATTAAATTTGTTTAGTTTTTCGTGGAATGGAATAATTACTTTATATGCTAAAAAAGACATGCTTATTGTATAAAATATACACAAAGGACAACCATTTTATATTTTAGTGTATTTCCAACTGTCTTTATTATGCATGTGTGTTTCTATACCCAAGTTACTTTTTGGCTCCTATTACATAGTTTGTATGCTGCATTCTGTCCTTAGCAAAATTCATTCAATAAATATTTGTCTTATATGTGCCAGGTCTGTGCTGGTTCTGGGGATACACTGGTGAGCAAAAACCATTTCTAGTTTCATGCTCCTTCTTTCACTAGTTGTCTGTTTGCACCTGCACATGCACACGCGTGAACATAAACATGGGCTGTGATTTGCTCACTGTTAGATCCCCAGTACTAGGCACACAATAGGCAATCAATAAATATTTGCTAAAATTTATTGAGACTGACAGACAGTAACAAACCAGAATACTAGCCTTTTTAAAATATATATATTTTTATTGATTTTAAAAAGAGAGGAAGGAAGAAGGAGAGAGAAACAGAGAGAGAACTATCAATTGGTTGCCTCCTGTATGCACCCTGACCAGGGATCGAATCCACAACCTGGGTATGTGCCCTGACTGGGAATAGAACCTGTGACCTTTCAGTGCATGGGATGATAATCAACTGAGCCACACTGAGCAGGGGCATTATGCTAGTCTTATAACCCAAGAGAGGTGCTCTGGAAGGAAGGAGCATGATTCTCTGAGAGCATTTAACAAAGGCTTGTGGAAGGGAAGACTTCTCTGCTCATGAAACAAGCCAAACTCTGCCACTTTGGGGCTTCTGCATTTGCTGTCCCTCAGTCTAGGAAAATTGTCCTTCTGCCTCTTGCATAATTGGCTCCTCCTTATCCTTCAAACTCAGTTGTGATGTCACCCCCTGGGAAGGACCTTCTGTGACCTCTTTATCTCAGGTTGATGTGTACACACACACACACACACACACACACACAGAGTTTAAGTTACCCTTCCAAAACTATGTTTTTTTTGTTTTCTCCCTGCTAGAATATAGAGGTCTTGTGTGTCTTGTCACACTTGTGTTTACAAATGCTCCATTTTTTTCCCCAATATCAACACTCTTGGATAAATATTAATTAGCAAGAAGTTAAATATAATATTTAGCTGGGTCTTAAAAGCTCAGGAAAAAAGGTTCCTCCTGCCTTGAGGAGGAAGATTCTGTTGTCTGTTTTCCTTAAGCAAATAGTCAGCCAGATACTTCTCTAGCAAAATTGGTTTATTTGGGAACACCAAGAATTGCTTTTTGGAACATGAGGTCTAAAAGTAAATCAAGAACAAGTCCAGAGAAAGAAAGAAAGGGGAACTGAATGTTTGACGTACAATGACTTCTTATTGGCCAAGTTATGGCAGTTTCTCACTGGCTGAGCTGTCAATGGGCAAGGAGGAATCTTTTCCTTCCTCTTGTTGAGGCAGCAAAATAGTATCACATCCTGTGGGAGGTGCACGGTAAGGTCTCTAACAGTTGGGATCATCAGTGTGTGTTTTTTATTTATTTTATTTTATTTTTTGATACGTGCCCCTAGCGGGAACCAAACCTGGGACTCTGGTCCGCAGGTTGATGCTCCAGTAGCTTAGCCAAACCGGCCAGGGCAGTGTGTGTTTTTTGATATGGGTGTGAGAACTTTCTCTTCTAGCTTCCTGATGCCATTTTAAATGAGGTTTCTATTTCTTAATTTTCAAATGCCCCCCCCTCCTTAATGAAGATTTTTCTATGAAATCATTGCTGATCAAGAGTCAGGTTGTTTTGGATTCAGTGACCTTTTGTACCTTGATGCCAGGAAGGACCTTTCCTGAGTGTCACGTTCCCTGTCGGAGGAAAATGTACAGATTGTAAACCTACTGTGATCACATTTGAGTAACGAGGGGTGGGGGGAGATCTCTCAGGAATTACCCATCTCAAATTTGTATTTTAGAGTAGTGAATCTGCAAAGCTATCCTCAGAACTGAAAGAATTAAACAGCTTTGGGGAGACACATTGCAGGAATAGAACATGGAGCAGTTAAACAGTATTGTTATCTTAAAAGAAACTGGAACAAAATGTCTTATCAATAATACAGCCTGTAGGTTGCAAATCAGAGACTATGAATTGGATAATAATCCATGATCAGTTAATAGTCTAGATGAAAGAGAGACTTCCGTGAATTTTAAACCTTTTAACTGGCCTGGTTTGAACATGTTGTGGAAGCAGTCTCACCAGGTGTACCCTGCATCAATTTTGGGAAACTTTTACCCTCAGTCACCAGATGGTGTGCAGGTTCAGTCAGGATTAGATGCTTTTTGTGGATGTGTCGTGTAAATCCAGGAGTCTATTGCCTAGAGTTTGGCAGCAGAAGGGTTGGTTAGCAGGACCTGATAGGGGCCTTTGCGGTGAGGTTGCAAAGCCTTTCTGCAAGTGTCTTTTCCAATACATGAAGTGTCTAGGATGCACAGTGTGTTGCTTAAGGTCTTCATCTCTCTGGAGTGCACTGTGAAAAGATTGCTTTATCAGACCATGGTTAATTTTGATAGAAGAACTTAGGCCTTTACAATATTGAAGCATATTTTCTTTTATCTTTGTGAATCAAAAGAGGCAGGGGCCAGTTGCATTGGGTTTTTAGTGACTATCTCAAAGGGTGAGAGTTTGAGTTCCAAAGGAGGTGGATCAGAGATTTAGAAGTACCAACCAGCAGTGCTTTTGGCTAAGGTATTTAGAAGGTTTCTGCAAATTTTGTCAGTTGAGTCTTTAAAAAAAAATTTCTTTTTCTTTATTGATTTTTAGAGAGAAAGGAAGGGGGAGAGAGAGAGAGAAACATCAATTGGCCGTCTCCTTCACGTCCCCTACTGGGGATTGGGCCCACAACCTGAGCATGTGCCCTGACTGGGAATAGAACCAGTGACACTCAACCACTGAGCCAAACTGGCCAGGCTGCAACTGAGTCTTGATGCTGTTAGTGCATTTGACTAAACCTGATGATCCAGTGTGGTCAGTGCCATGAAAGTGGTGTCAAACTGGCCATATAGCACAATTCTGTCAAAGCACCTGACTGGTAAAATGGGTTCCTCATTTCCTGGGGGTTTGGAGGGGTTCTCTAGGTTGGGGCAATCTTTTCGTAGGGACTTTAGCCACAGGAGAGGCTGTAGCCTGTCTGTTGGGAAAGCTTCAGTCTAGTGAGAAAACATACAGACCATTACTAAAATAAATTTATATCCATGAGATGGGACAGCTGTATGAAATCCACTTGTTGGGCTGCGACTGGTCCATTCGGCAATTTAAAATGTCCGGGAGCAGTTGGAGCAGGCTTTCCTGGCTTATACTTCGGACAAATGGTGGCCTTATTAATAGTTCCCCAGCAGTATTGATTTATAAACATTATCATTTTGTCAGTGGACCAATGGTTTAATGCATGTGCAGTCGTTAGGAGTGGGGGTTTTAGAGCCTCTGGTTGGACTGGGTGTTATTTGGCTCAAACCAGAGCTGCTGCTTTTTGTCAAACCAACAATTGTCGAATTTCCAATTTTGTTTTCCTTTCCTGAGGCCAATTGTTGGACTTCTCTAGCCATTTTTTCTAAGTTATCATTTGAGGGAATATCCCTTTGACCACACCAGAGTTTTGGCTGCTGTTGGTTCCTTTTAAGAACTGCATTTCTTGTGGAAGTGTCAGCAAGATGATATCCCTGCAGCTTCCAGAGAGACAAGTTTAGAATGCCCTGGGATTTTTAAAAGATATATGTTTTTATTGATTTTTTAGAGCGAGAGGAAGGGAGAGAGAGAGAAATATCGATATGAGAAACATCTATTGGCTGCCTCTTGCCCACCTCCTTCTGGGGATCGAGCCGGCAACCCAGGCACGTGTCCTGACTGGAAATCAAACTAGGACCTGTCATTCCAGGGGACGATGCTCAATCCACTGACCCACACCGGCCAGGCTGCCCTGGGATCTTAATAATAGCTAAAGCAGCAGGTAAAAGTAGAGCATCTGATAATTTCTGAGCATACGGTCATTTTTTATTTTATTTCAG